GAATCACTCTTGAATTTATTTTCTGTCAGGCTGCAGTAATCACCATGGGAGAAGGGCCTCTGTAGACCTTGTTCACTACTGAAGCCCAGTGTCCAACATAATACCTTCTCAATAAACAGCCCTTGAATGAAAGAAATGAATAAGATTTCAAAGCCCTTCCCTTTATCCCAACCTTCTATTTTCTGGGAATGTGTGCAAATATTACACAAACCTCTACTAAATTTTCACCTAGTCAGTGAATCACATGATCTCTACTACATCTGGACTGGATTTGAACTACTATTAACGGAGTTTGAAGCATCAAAACATCTCCTTATTAGAAGTGCTCTAGTGTTGAGACAAATGTCATTCAGCTCCTTCAAGTATCTCTGTCAGCTAGGACAGCAAATGTCCTGTCCCAGGTAATTCAGGTGTCTGTCCTTGGACAAGCTTTTGTCGGTTCCCTAGGGCCATCTTTGGTGCCAGGAACATGTGGAATTTGACAGAGTTCAGAATCCCAGAGTGAACTGGGCTGAGTTTTGAAAGGAAGAGCCCAGTTACTGGAAATGACTTAATTAAAGCCTTGAGTTCTTCTAAGTTGTGCTATGAAGTCTCTGAATTTTAAACTAGAGAAAGTGGGGTATGATGGGTGCCAAGTATATTATTTTAATTAAGATAAATTAAAATTTATAATTTGACCTTTGACCAAAGTTCATTTTTTTCAGTGATCAATTTATCACATCTTAATGGTGGCTCCTGAGTTGGTCAAATTCTTGTTCTTATGGCAAAGCACCTAGCTCACAGCAGCCAGCCAGACCCAGATCAGATCAGTGCCTAAGCTCTAGCTCTAGCAAACAGCACCAGGTCTCTCTCTGTCTCTCTCTGTCTCTCTCTCTCTCTCTCTCTCTCCCTCTCTCTCTCCCTCTCTCACTCCCCCTCCTCCCTCCCTCTCTCCCTCCTCCCTCTCTCTCCTCTCCTCCCTCCCTCCCCCCATTTCCTCCCTTCCTCCCCCCTTCCCTCTCCCTCCCCCTTTCCCTCTCCCTCCCTCCTCCTCCCCTCCCTATCCCTTCGGATTTCCTGTCCACCAACCACCCACCTGGCCTCTCCAGCGCCAGCGATTTTTTCTCCCGGTTTCTTCAGAAACCACACTAGGCCGGAGTTGAGTCTCGCGGCCAGCTCCACTCCTCCCCTATCACTGCATTCCCTAAGACCCGGTTGCTCACCTTCCTTTCTGCGCTCAGCGGTTTCTCGGTTCCCCAAGCCTGGGAGCGGCGAAGGACCCAGCAGAAGCTGGAGAGGAGAGTCCAGCGCTATGCGGGGCGCGGTGGCACACGCCTTTAATCCCAGCACTCGGGAGGCAGAGGCAAGCGGATCTCTGAGTTCGAGGCCAGCCTGGTCTACATAGCGGATTCCAGGCCAGCGAGGGCTACAGACTGAGAGCTGTTTAAAAATTAAATTAAATTAAGTTTTAAAAGCGGAGCGCTGAGGACCGGTAGGTGCAGGCCCCGAAGCCCCAGCCTTGAGCGCCGCTCTCCCAAGCTGCCTTTGAAGTTTTAGGTCTGCAGCTGCAAGCAGACCAAGGACTGTCGGGAAAGTTTCCCTTGGCTCTGGGCAAAAAGAAAAACTTCATAGAACTTCTCTGAACTCGGAGACTGTGGCGCTTTGGGCACCGAAAGACGGAAGTATACAGCCACCACCCTCCGAAGTACTCACTGCGACTGGGATCCCGGTGCACCTGGGGAAAGATGCTTGAAAGAGAAGTCTGTGTGAGATGGCATAGGAGTCCTACCTAGCTCGGTCCGTCAAGATGGCCCCCAAAGCTGGCGACAGGCTGAGGCCAGATTAACGGATACGCCAAGGACTTGGGGGGAGGTGGGGGCCACAGAGCGGAATCTTCCCTGCACTGCCTTAGAGCAAAAGAAGGCGAGGCGCTGCAGGAGCCTGCACCCGGCGGAGGTGAGCCGCAGACCGATCAGAAGAGGATGGGCCCCTGACTCCAGAGGCCTCGTCACTCACTTAGACCCGAGCGTGGAACGACCAGTCTCTAAACATTCTCTCCCGCCCAGGGCTTCCCACATCAGGCTAAGGCGGGTGAGAGGAGTCAGCGGGTGAGTTTGCATCTAATAACTGCGCTGCCTAAAGAGGCACACGCGGATACAGTGTGGATTCTCCGCAAACCTGCAAGACCTCTCACCCCGGGATATCTCTACCCAGGAGAAAAAAGTGACAGGCAGAGGCCAGAATTTCAGACAGCAGGCAGAGCAGAAGGCACATTTAGGCTACCTCTGTCCAAAGGCCAGTCTGGCTATGACCCAAATGGCTCTCCTGCCGTCATCTCTCTAGAGTAAACTGCAGGCATGAGGTCTAGGCTTACTAGGGAGGCACAGTTTGGAGGGACAGAGCAGTAGCCAGCACATGGGGCTGGAAGATCACACCATAGATCACACCGAAGATCACACACAGGGCTGAAGATCATTGAGTATCGCCTGTGCCCTTCCAGCTAAGGAGTCTTGAATAAACCTGTGGTCACCCAGGACTGCAAAACAGGGTGGGAAGTGCTGGAAAGTTTGAGGCATGGAACCCTGGTCACAGTTATGTCTTGAAGTTCAAATGCTTTGAGATTTTGGGGCCCACCAGTGCAGCCTGCCCAGGCAGTCTTTGGCATGGGAACTTCTCGGGTCAGGGGGCTCCCAGCCCACAGGCTGCTACCCACAGGCCTGACCCATGGCACTAACATATTAATCCTCTCCTCCAGGTGGTCAGTGAATTGTGGATAGCTCTTGGATTGTGACCTGGACTGAAGAGAACTGGAGAAGAGAAGCAGCCACAGGAGGAATGAGAAATATAAAAAACAAGGATACTGTTCCCAAACCGCTTCAGACCTGGAAGAGACTGTCTTAAAGACTGCGAGTGGACAGTCTAGGACCCAGCTGGTGTCAGATCCCCTCATTTAACAATTTCCAAGTAATCCAAAGCTCCAGGCATGGGCTTGGTGTCCCCTTAGTGCTCCAGGGTGAGAGGCTGTTGGGTTCCCACAGAACGAACATGAGTATTTCTCTCATTTCCTCCCTTAAGTGTTGGGATCAATCAGTAAAATGAGAATCTGTGGATCTCAGCTGGTAAGTTCTGAGAGAAAGAGAGCTGGTCCAAACTAAGCACTGAGCAGGACTGCCTCACACCCTGTTTTGCCACACTTGGAAATCTTCCTCCAAATGGGTGAAAAAATGTCTGCTTCCTGAAACTCCTTGGGGGGGGAGGAAGAGGAAGAAAGTAAAACATACTCCTGAGACCAGGCCAGAGCTGTGTTTGAGAAGGATGGCAAATCCTGTACACCTGCTCAGCACAGATGAGGTGGCATCCCTGGCCGTTAATAGGATGATACTCCAAGAAGTCCGGTCTCCAGCTGAGTCTAAGAAAATTAAGACCAAAATTATTCTTCCAGTGTGATTTATCTGCATGGGAGACTTAGATGGTTCCTATGGTCTAGCTGAGGCTCCATCTTTGGCTCCACAAAATCCAGTGTAGAGAAGAGAGATAAACACTAAATAAAAGTTTTCAAATTCTATATACCAATGTCACCACTTCTCACTGGAGTTACTCTTGGCGAAGTATCTTTTTTCCCTTCAGCCTCAGTTTCCTAATCTGTAAAATGGGAATATTGCTCAGCACACTGAAGAACAGCACAAACCAACATTGAGATATTCATCAAGTCTTTCTAGTGGTAGGAAGCAGATAGTCAAGCTTGATAGACTGCATTTTAAAGGCAGACCCTCCTTGCCTACCTCCTTGCCCCCCCCACCTACCTCCCCCCACTCAGCACTTCTTCAAGCCGACTGTACAGTGTGCATTTCTGGCCTGTCTTCCCAAGAGAGGCCGGTGCAAAAGCCAATAAGCCTGGAACACACGCAGGTCCTGCAGGACCTGGTACAATGGTTTCCATTTAATAAATATTTCCCCCAAGGGCATTTCACAAGGGCCAGGCAATTATTCAAAGGAAACAAGCTTGCTCTCAGGTTGGCTTTGCGGGTTACTTCGTCCTCTTTACCCGAAGAATGCTCATCTGGTTTAAGAAACAGGACGGCAGCCTTCTGTGCGAAGAGGCGCCCTGGCGGAGGGCACAGCCGGACACTCGGTTGCAGGCGGCAGAATGGGGCATAGAAAGGCCCCATTCCCCGGTTCCCGGCTGCCTTGGAGTTTGGACAGTTGAGAGCTGGAAGTTTTAAATCACCAAATGATAATGACATAGATAAGAATCCTGATGGACCCTACCTCCCCGACACACTCTCCTGCCCAGAGTGAAGGGGAGGTCGTTCTAATGTTCAGGGCTTTCCAAGCACCAAACCTGTGCAACCAGGCACACGAAATGGTCTGGCTTCAGCTCCGAGAGCCTTGTTCTGGCCCCCAGGGGCCCAGAACTGCTTGGCGCAGCATCCTGAGGTGGAGGCACAGTCCTGGGGGAACGCCACCAAAGCATCGCCGTGGTTCTGGCGTAAAAAGTTTATTTTGCTTTTTGCCCTGAGTTTAATATATTCTTTTCTTCTCCCAAGGATCTTTGACAAGTTGAGGGGCGGGAGGGGGATGCTGTCCTTGCAATTCGTGGAGAGGCTGTCCTATTTATCAACACAAGCTCTGGCCTGGCTCCCCTTTATCCCCTCCTTAGTCCTCTCCCCGGACCTTTGTATTCAAAGCCCGGATTCTCTTTTGAACAACTGGAAAAGAACACAAGAGATACGAAGAGTTTTGATTTTTGACAGTCCCAGAGACAACGTGAAGCCCAGTCCCCAGCCCCGACTAGCCGCTCCTCGCGGCCGCGGTCGGGTCCCTCGTACCGCTCCCCGCCCCCATCAGGGGCGCTCCAGCTTTCCGCGACTCGCGAGTTGGCAGGTGCGCCCCCTCGCCTCCTCTGCCGCTGATTGGCGCCCAGGTTGGGCAGTCGCCGCCCCGCGCTTATGTCAGAGTGCGTGGCGTCCCGGCCCACCTCGCCTTTGAACTTCGCCGCTTTTGGCTCCCGTTCTCCAGCCTCCCCGCATTCTTAGCCAGGTGCAGTGCTAGGCGAGGCAGCTCCGGGAAAGCCAGGGGAGGGGGGAGCCAAGGCCAGAGGAGCCCAGGAAAGCCGAGGAGGCGAAGGTGAAGAGGGAGAGAAGGAGGAGCCTCCTGCCCTCGCCAGAAAATTACCTAGCCACTTAATCCCCGAGACTCTGGTACTTGGGCCCCAGTCTCCGGTGACCGCAGACTCCAGGCCGAACGCCGGTCTCTCCCTCCCACGCCCTTCCTGCCCTTCCGCCCCCCGGGGGGGCTGCCTGAGTTCTGAGACTGGCATGATCAGTTGAAAACTTTTCAGGGTCAGCTCTTCTCTCAGACTTCCCCTCAGGGGTGCCGAGGCGACGGGAGCGCAGTCCCGGCTCTGGACGGACAGACAGACCGCCAACCGCGCCCAGGCTCGCCCGCAGAGCCCCTGCTCTCCCCGCCCCCGCCCGCCCAGCCGGGACCATGTCCAAACCGTCAGATCACATCAAGAGGCCCATGAATGCCTTCATGGTATGGTCCCGAGGCCAGCGGCGCAAGATGGCCCAGGAAAACCCCAAGATGCACAACTCGGAGATCAGCAAACGCCTAGGCGCAGAATGGAAGCTCCTGTCCGAGGCAGAGAAGCGGCCTTACATCGACGAAGCCAAACGCCTTCGAGCCCAGCACATGAAGGAGCACCCTGACTACAAGTACCGGCCACGGCGTAAGCCCAAGAACCTGCTCAAGAAGGACAGGTATGTCTTCCCCCTGCCCTACCTGGGCGACACGGACCCGCTCAAGGCAGCCGGCCTGCCGGTGGGGGCCTCCGACGGCCTCCTGAGCGCGCCCGAGAAAGCCCGGGCCTTCTTGCCGCCGGCCTCGGCGCCTTACTCCCTGCTGGACCCTGCGCAGTTTAGCTCCAGTGCCATCCAGAAGATGGGTGAAGTGCCCCACACCTTGGCAACCAGCGCGCTGCCCTACGCGTCCACCCTGGGCTATCAGAACGGCGCCTTCGGCAGCCTGAGCTGCCCCAGCCAGCACACGCACACGCATCCATCCCCCACCAACCCGGGCTACGTGGTGCCCTGTAACTGTACCGCCTGGTCTGCCTCCACCCTGCAGCCCCCTGTCGCCTACATCCTCTTTCCAGGCATGACCAAGACTGGCATAGACCCTTATTCGTCAGCCCACGCCACGGCCATGTAACCCCCAGCTTGGCCCGGACCTGAAGGGTGGCCTGGAAGTGGAGGTCTGCACCCTGTCCTCTGAGCCTAGTCTGGCCTGCAGATGTCTGGGGGTCAATCCCGCCGCTGCTGGCCCTTCCCCACCCCAGACTCTGCCTCTCCCAGGGAGAAGGGAGGGGCCTCCCTCCTGGACCCAAAGCATAGACGTGTGCCAGAAACTTGCAGACCTTAAAACAGCTGCACAGCTGCCCTTATCCCGACTTTCCCAAAGCAAGTCTCTGATGACTCTACCCCCTTTGGACAAAAAGTAGGCAGTTTTGCTTTGTTTACTCCCACCTCACTCTCCTCCGATAGGCTTTGGACTCGGACCTCCCAGACCCTGGTACTATATCTAGAATATGCATATTTTTCTTTTCCCACTAAAAGAGTTAGCTGTGTCTCTGTGCTGTGCCATCAGATACAGCTAATATTTGCTCTTCATGTGTGGAAGGGAAGGATTAAAAGTTTAAAACTTCAGAAAGTGAGACGTTTCTATTTCAAACCATGCTGTGGTAGTGTTTGCTTCTTTAAAAAGAAAACAAAAAAGACCCACTTGGCGATTTACTTTGTGTAAAGCAGTACTCCTAGAGACCTAAGTTTACTTTTAGACTGAATGTCGGGTGATGAAGTCAGGAAGTAGAGAGTGAACAAAAGCTTAAAATAATAATTAAAAGATACATCCTAAATGGTCATAAATGTTTTGACAATGTCTTGGAAATGTACCTTAGAAGGATTTTACCTCGGTTCCTCTGTTCATTTGTTGAACAAAGACGTTTTGAATAAAGACAATCTGTCATTACAAAAAGTAACCTTTGATGTGCATAAAATCAAATTTAGGAGTCTAGCTTCTAGGAGCCAGGAGGCTGAGTACCTAGGGGCCCTGTATGGGGAAGCCTGGAGGCTGTCCTGCCTTAGCACAACCCGGTGGCCTGTGAGCTGATGTAGAGGGCCTGGAGTCTGGGGTCTGTATTGGGCCCCCGAAGACCTGCTTTTTGCCTTTAGAGGCCACACAAAGGTTCCAGGACTTTGCCTGTTTTCTCACAATCTTCACAAAGGGGCCAGACCACTTCAGGGATCCAATGAACTAAGACAACAGTAAACCCAAACCTTGATTCTGCTCTTTAAAAATGATATTCCAAAGGAATGAGAGGAGTCAGTCTCCCAGGAACCAGTTGCTCTAGCTCTAGCGGAGCAGAGCCAGTTGCAGAGCCGGTTGTCGTGGGTGTTTGAGTTCAGAACATGGGGTATAGATAGTGGAATTGATTTTTTAAGGTGCTTTAGACTACTGCCAGGTCCTCTGGGAATCTGAGACCCCCCCAGACTAAGTTGCTAGGTTAAAAATTTTAAAACTGATCGTTAGCAACTTTTTACTGATCCTGAGGGGGAAAAAAGAAGGCAATGTTGTGGTATCTCAGGTAAAGAGTTTTTAAAACACAAAATTTAAATAGCTGACAGGGCCTGTTTCTTTGTGCTGGAGGTGAACATTTCCCTGGAGGTTACTCTTGCCTTTCCTAATGCTGCCCAACACAGAGCTTCAGAATTTGCTCTCAAATTCGAAAGGTGCCTCTCTCCTCTCGAAACCCAAGTCATGTCACACTTCAAATCTGTTATCCCGCGGTTTTCAGTAGGTCCTGAGCTTTATTCGCTGGTACTATTCCAGGAGGGAATGGGGCAGCCTGGGGGCTGGTCGCCTTTCTTAGGCTGTTGAGGGATTTGTGAGCGCTCCTCTTTCTTTCCAAAGGACTCGGTAGCCTGAGGTGCAGAGAAAACCTTGTCAACCGACACCAAAGCCGAAACCCTCGGATTAGCATATTGTCCGCAAAACAATTAGAAGTGTTTGAGGTGCTATTTGGAGCCTATTCATTCCAAGTCCCTTTGTCAAAGGGGGATTTTCATTATTAAAATAAAAAAAAGTTAGCAGTTGTCCATCTGGCTGAGCTGAATAGCAAAGTGATCCGTGTTGTATATGCTTTTCTCATTAAGGGCTCTTATGAGACCGATGTTAGAATTAAATGGTATAACACAATTAACATACACGGGTCCTGAATAGGAGGAGACGCCTATAAATAATAGATAGATAAATAAATGAGCGATCAGGCGAAGGTAAACAAAGGCCGGCTGGGGGAGGTGTGGAGGAGGCCGGCCCGGCTGAGCCACGCTTACTTAGCATCACAAAACCCTCTTACAAATCCAGACAATTAGGAAGTGACTTGCCTCTGGTGGCCTTGGGGTCTGGGGACTCTGGGTGCGTTGGGAAGGCCCCTCCTCCCGCCCTGTAGGAAGCCCGGGAGGCCAGGGAGGCCAGCAGTCGGTTCGCTGTTTGATCTAACCCCAACTGACAGTCCTGTCAGCCTCTCTGCTCTCCTTCATAGCTCAGTGTCCCTTAACATCTCCTAAGATGAAGTTTACAGGGGTCTGATGTCTCCCCGCAGAGCCCAGCGCAGGAGAGCCCAGTTCACAGACCACCCCAACCGGGGAGGAAGCCAGAACGCATAGCCTCAGTAAGGTGCCCAGGTGACTCCAAAGTGAGGTCAGGCTGGAAAGGGGCATCAGGCAGGTTTGAGAGGCGAAGGCCTGCAGCAGATAAAAGAGTAACAAACAAACTGAAAGCCAGGTTCCAGACTGCGCCCGACCCTGGGCCACAAGCGGAGCTCTAGAAAACTGGAGAGCGTGGCACCGAGAGTAGCCAGGGTGCACGCCACAGGGCAATCGAAACGTCTCTCCAGCCCACGGAGAGCGGGGACTTCAGAGCTCTGGGTCTGAAACCGAAGACCACTGGGCTCGGGACTTTACTTTCCTTCGCACTTCGTTTGCTTTTGCAGGCCCTCTGTCCTGCTCAGATCTGGACCCTGCCTGGTCGCCCTGGCCCCGGGGCCCGCAGAGCATCCGCAGAGGTGCCCGGCCGCGACTCGCCCCAAATAGCCCAAATCACCACCAAGTCATGCAGTTGACAGGGGTCTGATTACTGACTTTGAAGTCAGGCGCAGACAAAAAGGAATCCCTTGGGGGGTGTTGGGGAAGAGCAGTCTCTGTCAAACCTGTTTGCTCACAACTGTCTCTTTCTTTCAAGAAAATCATTAAAGCAAACCTGTAGGAGAGGAACGCCCCGCCCGCCCAGAGTCAAGGAGAGCCGCTTGTGCCCCGCGCGCAGCGCACTGCAGAGTCCAGCCTCGAGTTCTCCACAGACTCCTGGCGTCCGGAAAGCCCGAACTCCTGGGGCCGGGGGGGGGGGGGTAGGTCCCTGCGGCCGGAGTGTCTGCCACCCACTCTGCGCTGGGGGTGCGTCCCGCAGCCTGGGAGCGCCGGGCTTCGCTCCAGAGCGGCCTGAACTTTGCCTCCAGCAGAGGTGACAAGGGTTAGGGGTTCCTAGCTTCTCTGCTGTAGGTACCACTACTTCCAGGAGCCCCTTCCCCCAAATTGATCCGATGTTTGTCGCGCTTTCACCCGTCGCCCCTCTGCTGGGTGTTTTCTAGGATTTTGGAAACCTAAGCAGCTGGCTGCTCCTAGTGGCCGCGAGCGACTCTGGTCCCCGCCTAGTACCCGCAGAGTCATTCGGGTTTCAGCTAGGTTTCAATTCTTAAACCTTGGCGTCCGTCCGTTCCACGGGGTCCACTAGCCAAGTCTTTTGAGAGATTTGGACTTGCCTCACTTTATCTTCTGGCCTCCTTCTCGGAACTCCGTTTTTTACCGGCTTCCCTATGTTTGGGTCCTATCCCAACAATCAGTGATTCCTGCTAGTTTCCTAGTCTTATTTGAGTATTAATTTCCTTATAGCTTCTGGCATTACAGATGGCGAAAGCCAGCTACTTCTAGTAAATCACACTGAGTTGTGAGTAACTAATATTTGAGCCACCTTAACGTTTGCATTTTTAAAGAAGTCGCTTAACCTCCAAGACTCTTCGTTGATCCAATCCTGGGCGATATTTCAGTCCAGGTAGAGAAGCCAGGAACTTTCTCTACCTGGCATCCGGCAAGTTCTCTGGAGAGATAGCAGACTGCCAGAACTCTGAAAACTTGGCCGACAGTGGGGCAGGATTGCCGTCGCCTTCTGCCCCTTTCGCGCTCTGCCCTCGTCATCATTATGTAAGTGGACAATGAATTTCAAGTCATTTGAATTCGCATATCACACAATTCACAAGATTCGTGTGCAGAATTCTCATCTCTATTTGCCTTGCTGAATGGTAGTGCCTAGGTGAAAGGAGCCTAGACTAGGGGGTCCATTAAATTTCGGTGCGGTGCGGGAGCTTCGCGCCTCCGCGGAGGGGCGTGAGCTCTGCACCCAGCAGTGGGAGTACGTTGGCTGATCTCTTTCCCCGGTTCTTCGAGGATGGTGTGCCTTGGGCCGGAACCAGAAACTTTGGCGTTGGGCTGCAGCAGAGAAATTAAGGAAATGAAGTTGAGGCAGGCGAGGGGGCGCTAGAAATCCGGTGAAGTGAACACGGAACCGGAGATGGTCTCCACTACCCCGCCCCCGACCCCCGGAGGAGGGGGTGCTAGGAATGCTGCCTTGGACCGTCGGAGATTCCTGGAGGTTCCGGCTTTAAAACGCAAATGTAACTGCCCTTGGCCTGGGAAGGGGCCTGAAGGCAGGAAAGAGGACGGTTTCTGCTGGCTCCCAGACCGCGTGGCAGAGCAGCCAACAACAACCGCCAGGTTCGAGCCCAGCCTCCGAGGCCTGGCAGAGAGATTCTGTTCCCTGGAAGCGAAAAGGACCGCAAGTCCAAGGCATCCCAGGGCTGCCTTTCCAGAATTTCCATCCTCTTCTCTCTGACCTGCCCTGGCGCCCTCCCTCCCAAGTCTAGTTCGGGTTAGGGGAGGGAGCCAAATGCCCAGGCAGACCAGAGGAAAGGAGTTCGCAAGTTCTCTCTTTACTACAAAGTGAAGGACTTGCACTTCTCTATTGCCAGTGGCGGTTTCCAAACTTTTACACTCCGGTGTGGAAGAAAAGCAATTCATAACCTCTCGGTGCGATCTGGGCAAGGATGCGAAGGCACTTCAGCAAAACTGCCGAGCTGCAGTTGGCTATAAAGGCCACACTCGACGGCAGCCCTAGGGTGAGGGAGTTCTGGCGACTTCAGGCGGCTGCGTCTAGTGCAGCTTCGGGATGGAGAGCTCAGGCTTTTCAGGAGCTTCAGGGTGGGTCCGAGCTCGGAACCCCGGGAGTCTAATGGCTCCAGTGCAGCTGCGGAACGGAGGGAGGTGCTTGAGAGCAGCTGCCGAGGCAAGCGCACAGCACCTGCCCAGCTGGAGCAGTGGCGAGAACCCAGGGTTCCGAAAGCCACTCTCCAGCTGAGGACTCCCCACAGCCCCTCCGACCTGGCGACTTCGCCGGACACTCTGCCCTGGGACGAGGGGAGGAGAGAAGGAGGAGAGAGCCGGCCGCCAGGGCTCCCGTCTCCGGTCCCTGTTCGCCTGGCACCCCCCGTGGCGCGGCGAGTCAATGGGATTTGCACACTCGAGGTGTAACAGCATTACTGCATTAATTACCATTTCCATTTCACGTCCAGATTGTTTACTTATCTGCGGGAAACATATGTCGGGAGAAGTTCACATTCCGGATTCTGCTCCGCTGCCCAAGGTGCAATTCCGGGGAGGCGGCGAGGGGGAGGGTAGGGCTTCAGATTTTTTATTACACCCTCTAGCCTTATCTGCCGCTGTAAATTGAGGATCCTTCATTGAGCGGCATATGGAGATTATATACTTTTTTGAATATCGTTTCCCAAAGCCTGCAGATTTTCACTTTGAAATGAAACAATCCCCCACCAGTTCCCTGGGGGCCCGGCGCCAACTGTGCTGTC